TATGTTCCATTTGTCGTAGAGCTTTATAATTTGAACTGTGTATAGCCAAGACTGTCTAAATATAAAATGAGCAAAACATAAATTTAGTGGTTCGAGTGGCTCTGCATCTTATTGCAACTGCATGAGTTGTTTACAGGGCGCCATCAACGTTATGGGTTTCGAGAGCTGGGACCATCGGACAACTTTGCCATAGAGGGCGCATATTTAATAGGTTAAGCAGTTGAGCATGCAGCACAATATTCTTAAATTAGCGTGAAAAGTTAGTAGTAGGACTAAATTAGTTAAAATCCCAAACCACTCTTATATGATATATGCAACACATGGTCATTTGAATATTTACATTAAGATATGCACGCTTGTTTTATTGGTTGGTTCTTTTGGATTCCTACCATAAATAGCGCAGTACAATATTAAAGGGCGGTGGTCGTCGCGCTGCGCATATGCGATATTTGTGTTGATAAACATTTATTTTCCCACAATCCAATGCGCTCTTCTAATGGAAATCAAAAGTATGAGGTTTGCCCTGGACGCGAATTGCACTAATTATTGGTGGCGACTCTTTCGATACCTTCCAATCACCTAACAAAATACCTAATTAAAGCTTCGTAACGTCTCAGTTTGTGTTCGTCAAAGTCGCCATCTTTGTTTATATGAGACCCATATATCTCACGATCTCGATATGTGAGTGTTTCAAGTCACCTGTGAGGGAGCAATTCACCTTTCCTGGTTCTGTCAGATTATTACTGCAAATCGAGAAGACGTTGAACATATTTTCAGTAACGCACGAACAGGCAATCACTATTTCCTTTTAAATCTAATATTCCTCACAATAATAATGATTCCAATAATATTATTGTAGTTGTGTTGACGTTGATTTCCCAAACGCTTTTTCAATCGAAATAAATGTTTGTAATTATCGCTGAAATGGACAGAAAAGTCATAAATAAAAAAGTAAATCACTGAAATCAGCCTACCCGGCTTAGCAAAAACTGCAGGTCACTTATTAAACGATTCGAAGAACAACTTTCAAGGAACTTCCGTAGAACAATTAAAATAAGATCCTTGTTTGGGCTTTATTTATTTTTTTAAAGATGTGTTTAATTATTTATATTATTATACATTGTCTTTTCCTTTACTTCATCTTAATTTATTATTTATATACTGGCGTTTTTAGAGTTTTAGTAATCGCGAAAGCCACCAAGTTGTGGTGCTAATTATGCAAGTAATACAAAATATGATGTACGTATAAATAATAATATGAGGTTATTGCGAAGAATACCTCAAAGCATGCACTC